GATGCGTCAGAAGGGTCGAAAGAAATGAAGATGCATCGCACTTCTCCACGGTAAGATGCGCGTAGAACTCCATGACGACTCGAGCGTTCTTCACGAATGTCAGGTAGACCACCATGTGCTTGCCGCGGCGCCGATCGGTACTCTCGTCGAGTTGTATCCCGATGAAGGGCGAGTCATGAATGTCCCGCATCTGCCTTGCACTGAGTTAGTTGACCAGTGCCTCGGTCATTTCCTTGAAACCGTAGCTGAAACACACAAGGCAAAGACAAGTACGGATGAAGTAATGACCATGCTAGTTCATGCCACCAGATGTACTTAGATGCAAACTTACACGAAACTTGACATTAGGTTACGAAACTGCACTAGGCTTACTCGGATTGGTAAGTGCCGACTTGTTTCTCTGGGATGTCAGGGGTCTTCAGGCAAAACAGGAGGCTCAAAAGAGATACAAACATGGCAATCGGCGCGTCCTCTTAGCAAATATAAAGAACGACGAGCATGAGAGCTTTCAAATGATGGGCCTCAACGTCACCGTCCTCATAGTTGATGATGTTGCGCTGTGCGGTCCTGATGCCCTCTGCAAGCGCCTTCTTCTCGACCGCATATTGATGCTTCTTGCTCAGCGAGTGCTTCCGCATCGTCTGCTTTTGGATGTCCACACCTCCCTGCCCGTTCCGGCCGTACTTGGTGTCGGGTGGACCGTGCGCCATACAGACGCTGCACCTCATGCAAGGACGGCCATCCATCTGCTGGTCGATTACAACCCATGGGAAACCGCGCACCCAATTCTCCTTGCACTTGGCTTTCAGCTCCTCCTGCGTTGGGGCCGGGGATGTACTTCGTGCTGGTAGACGACGTGGTTGTCTCCAGGGGGTGGGGATTGCCGACTGGCGCATCACCAGCTGCGGCTGCAGACGTGCTCGGTACCGTTGAGCCACTTGGATTCGATGCATGCGATGTCACCCTGACATGTGGGACGCGTGTTCTAGCGAATCAAATGCTACTCTAGGTGTAGCGTGCTTTCGACTCGATGCTACCTAGCGGGGCGAATCTGTTGGCAGAAACAGTGGGCCGTTTGTCGGCACCAATGACGGATGCAGTGCGGACGATGGAGGAGGGGTGTTCTCGTCTAACAGGCTGTTATGTGTTGGCGACATGGGAACGCGGTAAGGCATGCCCACGGGGTGAGGCGGGGAGGCAAGCGGAGGGTTAGGAGGAGGATCCGCGCCACTTGAATCGACATCCAGGTGGGCTTGCTGCTGATCGTAAACGGGCTTGGTTGCGGAAGCCCTCAGGAGGTCCAACCCCGTCGGCATGACGGCACACTAGGATGATGCTACAGCCCTGGCGTTGGTAGCGGGGCTACGGATTGCATGGGCTGCAGCTAGTCTATAAGCGGCGTAAGCGGGTGTGCAAGCTCTACAGATATGCTATCCTAGGACAATAAGAAAATGGGCAGAAAGCCCATAGCTTCATTAGAAGATTGTGTGTGGGAAGAAGATGAGGGAGGCGACGAGGATGGGCGTATGCAAAACTTGGCTGGACAAGATTGGGGACTCTATCCACGTTTTCATGTTTCAGGCATGGGCAACGCGGCGCGTGGTTCGGTGCCCCCTACATCGTTGATATTTGTCCATGAAAGAGTGCGACCGAACCTGGTAGCGAGGTGGCAAATGCTGCCCCACTGGGCAGCCAACTCCGCCGAGCGAGATGCGGTGGTTTTGATAATCCAATGGGCAAGCGAGATGCCGCCGAGTGGTCCCCCAAATTGCCAATGGTAGCGATTTGTGACGTGTATGCTGCTGTTCTTAGTCACGTTGACAGGTTTTCACATGAGTTGCTGCCAAAACAGTCAGTTCCCGGGGCGCCTGGGCGGGACCGGCACCGTGATTGCCGTTGTTCCCGTAATCAGCGGATGTCCTCGTACAGCGGAGATTCATTCGGTTTCAGACGAAATATTTCGTCAAGTCTGAAAAATCAGACGGACCAGTACACGTTTTCTGAAATTTCAGACTATCCCGAAAATGGATTTCTGAACCATCAGAATCCTAAAAAATCAAATTATGACCGAATTCCAAGTCTGAAAATCAGACCAACTGACGAAATACTTCTTATACTGGGGACCCTGTAACCAGCCCGTAACAGTAGTATTCTTATCTGTGGGGTTGAACAGGGGCGGCATTGTCTGTTTGATCGTTATTGTCGTCTCTATCGGCACGAAAGCCGGTGCGGCTACAGTAGCGGCTGCTTTTGACCGGGCGGATGCTGCTGCTGCTGCTGCGTCGGCTGCTGCTCGTGCCGCCACGCCAGCTGCTGCGGCGGCATCGCTGTCCTTGTGCTCCTGAGACACCTCACGTGCGATTTCGTCCAAAACGGTTTCGACACGTCCGGTGCTGGCGGCGACCTCCTCTTGGGCGGCAGTTTTCTAGCGTGAATCCTCTTTCGCCTGTCGTAACTCAGCAACTTCTGCACGAAGTCACTCATTATCCTCCAGTACTGTAGCCATGCATGTGTTCTTTGAACTGCTCCCGAAGCTCGTTGAACTGAGCTTGGTCCATTTGGCGAATGCTCCGCCGGGGAAGGGGGAAATCCGTAATGTGCCTGTACTCGGGGAAGCGCAAACGCTATCGTAGTTGGGCAAATTAATCAATCTAATTCGTGAGCAACCGCTTTGCAGCTTACGCGAGGGACTTACCCTCCGCAAAAAAAATCAACTCACGAAAACGGGTGAGCGAGGAAAGTGGCTCTGAATACCAGGTTTGATGAATGAACAAGCAGAGTTGTGCGGAAATGAATAACGAAGTAATCAATAACTGAATGACGATACAAGGAATGGCAAGCCAAGATATAGGAACACCAGAGCTAGTCCAACCGTGAGATGGGAAGGTTCGGGAAAGAGATCGAAGGGTCTCGAAGTGACGAAGCGAGGCCCGGAGAGCTCCCGAAGGTCGAACTAGAAGGTCTGGAGAAAGCGACGCGGTTCAGTCAGAAAGGTCCAGAACCGTCCCGAGGCTTCGGGTGTGTTCGAGCGTACGCAATGGCAGTACATCTCGGTAAGGAATGGAAAATTCCTTACATTTTGTGTCCGGAGTAACCATTCTAGCCAGAAATATTCGCTGTGTTGCACCCCCCCCCCCCCCCCCCCCCCCTCCCCAATTTCGCCGCTTCCAGTTGGATTGCCTATGAATGGGGGGAAATTTGCAACAGCGGATTGTTCACGAAACTTTTCATACTTTCGTGGACAGGCCCTATTTTCATGGACACCAAATTGAGGTTTCGCTTCTCCCGTGGACTCCGTCAATACTTTCGTGGACTCCAGGTTTAATTCCATGGACACACACGAATTTGAAACAAAAAAAAAAACATACAAAACTGTAAAGATGCTGACGGGAGTAAAAACACAAAATCATGGCATAATCAAGTCCCTCGCAATAGTCACGAGCTACAGTAATTGCAAGCCACCAAGTCCGCTAGCTGTTTCACGTCTTTAAAGAAACTCTGAAGCGATCCTTAAAATTCATTTGAATAAGTACGACGAAACGGTTTTGGTTGAATGACAAGTGTGGCAGATCGAGTAGGCCAAATCTCGCTACAACAGATTGACGTTGTAGAATAAATATAGACATTGTGGTTATAAGATTAGTAGAGCTCAGTAAATATTATAGTAGTCCCAAGATAACGGTTTGGAATTTCTGCCCACCAAGAATCGGGAATACCATAAATTCTGGAATTTCCAAATTCTGCATTTTCAATGAAGATGTGAAATCTCAGAATACCAATAACGTTTGGTAAACATGGCTGTATAAATGGAAGGTTTCAGGTGTTCATGTTATCATTATTAAAAACTTTGTCCATAGTAAACAAATAATGCATCAGAAAATGATACAAGTATTTTAGATGTACAATTTTGGGAATATATTTTTCTATGTTTGAACAAGAAACATACTAATGCAAATAAAAACAAGTGATTCTGAAATATATATTTTTCATGTGATATCTTTTCGTTCACAGAATTCCTAATAATGAAATAATGTATTATGAAGGAGAAAACAACTGCTGATTGATGCTGGCTAGTCAAGCACGTGCATATTATGTTTTTGTTGAGTAGCTCTGATTTGAAAAGAAAAAGTGTTTCTATCACCCGGAACCTTATACACTATGTTTTTGAAACTTGACTGCATATTTGAGTGCGGCTGCAAACTCTTCCCAGAAAAGCTCTAAGATTCTGTTTCAGAACTGGTTTCCGACACTGTAGCTCGCGATTACTTGCGACGGACAGATAGTCCGGAGTATTTCGATTTTTGTGCCCGTAATCACTTGTACATTGCTGTATACTCCTCTTTAACTGCGAATATGCGTGTGTCCATGGAAGTAAGACGGGAGTCCACGAAAGCATTGACGCAGTCCACGGGAGAAGCAAATCTTCGATGTGGTGTCCATGAAAGTAGGGCCTGTCCACGAAAGTAAGAAACGTTTCGCGGACAGGCCGCGGCAGCAATTGTCCCGTGAATGGGTGTTCATTCTCACCTTAGTTTGGGTCGCCTGGCAGGGGCAGACTCACGAACATAGCGCGGGCAGAAATCAGAGGCTTGTCGCGGGCAGCACCCGACAGAAGCGCAACCAGTAGCGCCAACCTCGGGTTCGGGCAGTTACGCAAGACTCGATTGAGCGCAACTCGCCCAACCTCTGGTTCGGGCAGCTACGTGAAATTCGCGTGAGCGCAACTCGCCCAGCCTCCAGTTCGGGCAGCTACGTGAAATTCGCGTGAGCAAACCTCGCCCCACCTCGCAATTCAGATGCAACACCCGACGAAACCCCCTCCCAAGCCATCCACCCCGCTCCACTCCACAGGTCTCCTGGCCCACACACCCCCAGCTCGCACACTCAAATCTCGGCAATCCCAAGGCTCCTTCGTCTGCCTCTCTGCCTCCAAGCGACCAGCCTCACACCTTTCCTGCCTACAAATCTGCAGCTCACATTTCATTTCTCTCACTACACACAGCTCGTAGTATCTCGAGTTCCTGTTCCCAGCTTTTGCTCTTAGTCGAGTTCACAGCTCGCGTTTCTACCGCGTGATGGCCTCAGTCTCGAACTGCTCTTCGTTTTCCGCCCTGCGTAGCTTCTGGGAGAATATCAGCAGCGAGAAACCGACGGCAGCACGCCGCGGACAGCCGCTGAGAGAGTCGTCCAGCAGTAGATCGATCGAGGCCTGCTCTCATGACGTCACAGCTGCGCTGCCAATGCTAATCGAGCCGCCAGCTGTGACGTCCGATCACGCGACGCCAGATCAAGCGTCAGAGCTTTTAAGGTCAGAATCCGTGTTCTCGTGTCCGGCTGCGTCAGCCTGTCTGGCCTCTGTTTCTGCAACGCCGGACGCTGAAGCTTCCGATGCTGCAGCTTCGGTTGCTGAAGCTTCGGACGCTGGAGCTTCCGATGCTGAAGCTTCCGCTGCTGAAGCTTCCGCTGCTGAAGCTTCAGACGCTGGAGCTTCCGATGCTGACGCTTCGGACGCTGGAGCTTCCGATGCTGAAAATTTGGTTGCTGACGCGGCATCAGATCCAGTGGTGTCGGTTCCGACCGCTCTATCGTCATCAGGTGGCACCAAGACAGCAGCTATAAGATTAGCACTACGGCTGCTGCCGTCGCGGATCCCAAGACCGAACAATAAAAGGACAGTGGTTAAGCGCGTGGGAGGAACGACGCTGATCCCGAGGCCTAGATGTGCTGCACCACAGAGCGAGGTGAGGGGGGTGAGGTCAGTGGAAACTGAAGCTGCGATCGAAAGGCCTAGCAGGGCGTCGAGGGTGGTGCTGGCAGCAACCTCAAGGCGGCCATGGCGGCCTTGACTGCTGCTGTGCTGAAAAAAAAGAATGGGGAGGGGGGAAAAAAAAGGCAAAGGAAAACGGCTGAAATATGACACGTGCTGAAAAGCTGGGTGTTGGTGGGAGTGTGGAGGTTGGGGGTTGGGAGTGTAAAGGATGGGGGTTGGGTGGGGATAAGGGATTGCTGCTATGCTGTAAGGAGGGCTCCAGGCCTGAGCGCTCCTGACAGATGGCTCCAGGCCTGAGCGCTCCTGATGGATGGCTCCAGGCCTGAGCGCTCCTGACGGATGGCTCCAGGCCTGAGCGCTTCTAACTGATGGCTCCAGGCCTGAGCGCTCCTGACGGATGGCTCCAGGCCTGAGCGCTCCTGATGGATGGCTCCTGGCCTGAGCGCTCCTGACGGATGGCTCCTGGCCTGAGCGCTCCTGACGGATGGCTCCAGGCCTGAGCGTTCCTGATGGATGGCTCCCGGCCTGAGCGCTCTTGACGGATGGCTCCTGGCCTGAGCGCTCCTGACGGATGGCTCCAGGCCTGAGCTCCTGAGGGATGGTGCCAGGGTGGTGTGGCTAGGGAGATCGGCGATAAAGTTCTTGACTTGTGTTAGGATCTTGGTTGGTTAATAATGCTTTAGTGCTACATCATCTGTCCTAATGCTTACAAATTTCCTGACGTCTAATGTTGTCCTGAGGCAAGGCTGACAAAGTTAGCTAGCATGTTCGTACACCGTACTATACCATGGCATACCATCTGTTGAGAGATACTTACCAGCCATTCCGAAAGGGAAATGTGTACCAAATAGAGAGCTAACATTTCTGCATGTTATCATGTGCAGTGCATATCATGCGCCAAGGTTTCTCAGGCTAACATTTGATGCCTAGAGGGGTCTCTACATTGTTCCTCAGATTACAACCCATCAGAATTCCTGACAAGTGGACTGGCTAGTTGCTAGACCACTAGATGGTACTGCGTCATGAATAAGGAATGTTGGCTCAACACAACAAGAATGAATCCTGGGTATCACTCAGCCAACGCTCGATGCGCAGAAGAACACAGCGGAGAGCAGGGAAATGAGACTGGTGGCAGAGCAGGGTACGTGCTCAGGCAGGATAAGCAGCCATTCTCAGACACTACATGCAATTCATGCCAGATGTGCCCTCAAAGGCCGGATGACCCATCACCAGCTGGTATACCAGCACTCCACATGCCCTGGTCATGCACTCGGCACATGGCAGGATAGCGGGACATGCACACGTCAACATCAGATTGGCAATCACCAGCACATACACCAGCACAGCACACCGCAGACCCTGATGGGTGACGCACATGCGTGCACATAGTGCAAGAGCAGTAAACAGGCATAACTGTAGTTATTAAAGAGCCCATCACCAGCTCATACACCAGCACCCCACATGCCCGGGTGATACGAGGACAGAGGATAAGAGTGACATAGGAGGATAGAGGGACATGCAAAGGTGACATAGAATGGCCCGATGCACGGCCCATCGCCTGTTCGAATACCAGCCCATCGCATGCCCTGATGGATGTATGGGACACATGCATGCAGGCAGTAAACAACAGTAACACATGGCAACACATGGTAGCACATGATAGCACATGGTAACACATGGGAACACATGGACTCACCAAATGTCCACTTTTTCATCATACAGTACATGCTCAAGCGCTCCGCCCTCATCCCCTCCCCTGCCTGAGCTCGTGAACTCCCTCTCTCCGAGCACCCTTCTCATGCCACTGCAGCCACCCCTCCCTTTGCCCTGCTGCCTGCCCCCTTGGCTTCTCCACACCAAGGGCTTCCGTCCCCCCTTTGCTCCCCTCCGCCTGCACTGCCCTCCTGCGCTGCCCCGTGCCATGCGGCATGCGCACCACTTCAGGCCCCACGTACTGCACTCCCGCGGTGCCCCCATGCACCACTCCAGGCCCATGTGGGAAGAATCCAGCGAGATGATTCACAACTTTTCACTGCTGTGTGCCCAGCCTGCTGGCGGGCCTCTCTTCGCGCATATTTCTAGCCAGGCCACAGCCACACACCTGTACAGTGGGAGAGGGAGAGGAGAAGGGGAGGGGAAGATGCCATGCGCACCACTTCAGGATCCATGTACTACAGAGTGCCCAGCTTGCTAGCGGGCCACTCTTTACGCAAATATATAGCCAGGCCCAAGTCTCACACCTGTACATGAGGGGGGTGGGAGGAGGGGGAGTTGCAATGCAAACCCACGTACTACAGAGTGCCCACGCGACTTGCCGGGTGTTCTTCTGTCATGCTAGTTGCGATGCAGCCCACTTCAGGCCCCACGTACTGCCGAACTGTAGCCCGAATGATGTGAGTCGGGCGTTCTTCTGTCATGCTGAATGCTAGCCCGAAGACAGGGGGAAGGGGAGGAAGGGAGAATGGGAGGGGGAGTCGCCATGGACACAAATTCAGGCCCCACATACTGCAGAGTGCCCAGGCGACTTGTTGGGCGTTCTTCTGTCATGCTGATTGCCAGACCGAAGACAACAACTTGGAGGGAGGGAGGAAAGGAATGGGGGGGACAGGTGAAGGAAAGGTACCACACGGCAGTGACGTGTCAAAGGTAAGCAGAAAGTTCTCCGGCCTTTGACACGCCAAACAGAGAAGTCCTTGCATAAAAGGATATGGAGTCCGCTATAAACACAACACGGAAGGAGAGAAGGAGGGGGAGGAGAGATGAACGAAAGTCGCCGTGACATGTCAAAGGTAAGCAGGAGGTTCTTTGCACAACTGGATAAGGAGTCAGTCTGAAACACAACTCGAAACTCAATTGCTCAAGCAAACTTCAGCTTGAAAAATGATATCCCAGAAGAAAGTGAACTTGATCTTAACTCTCCCCTTTCTGTACTGCAAGTTCAGGTGACGGTGCGTACCAGCTGGTTTGGGTGCTCGCAGTGACGACCCCTGGGGCTTCATAGTAACAGGTGTGTCTGGGTTCAGAGAGTACCCCCCTGGAGTCTGCATGCCACCTGTTCCGATGCTCACCTTGCCAGGGAGAGTTACCCAGCTCCCGGGATAAACAATCAACCCGTCAGAGTTCGTAATGGTTCTGTTACGGTTGACGGTGACACCGCCAGCTGTCGTTGATCCGTCAGTTGGGATTCATATTCGGCATGAAGGAATCAGCACAGTCCATCGGGTGACACCACAGGTTGTGGCAAGCAAGGTGGGTGTTTCTGCCATGACGCAAAGCCAACCCTTGCAAATCGACTCTGACTTGCCCCATCTCGTCCCCGAGTCATTCCCGCACAACCCGGCCCTAAGGTCCCCCATCTCTTCCTGATTCAGTTCCGCATGGAGCGAAAATGCCGCGAAGGGCGCACAAGAGGGATGGGGGTCGGGGCGAGGAGGGGAAGAGAGGAGTGCAGCAGGGGTCGGGGCGGGGATGGGGGTGGGGGGTGGTGGGCAAGGCAGCAGGGGGATTTTGGGGGAGGGTAACGTGGGCGGACAAGGAGCGGAGGGAGGAAGGATGAAGAGGAAGCGATGGAGTCGGATGGGGCGATTTGGGAGAAATTTGTGGTGTGCGAGAGAGGGAATAGCCAACAGGACAGTGCAGTGCAGAGAGGGAGCGACAGGCAGAAGCCAGGAGGGACCAGCAGCACGCGGTGGCAAGACGGAGGCAAGGCGGAGGCAAGGCGGAGGCAAGGCGTGGGCAAGGCAGAGGCAAAGCTGAGGCAAGGCCGGGGCAAGGCGGAGGCAAGGCGGACGCAAATCGGATGCAAGGCGGACGCAAATCGGACGCAAGGCGGAGGCAAGGTGGATGCAAGGCGGAGGCAAGGCGGACGCAACAATAGTCGACGCACATGCGTAAGCCACCACCCTTCTTGTTAACGAACAAGATTGGTGCTCCATATGGTGATGCGCTTGGCTCAATCCATCCCTTTTTGGGGTGCTCCTCAATTTGTTGTTTAGCCTCCTCGTACTCAGCTAGACTAAGGCAATACAAAGGTCAAAACGGTGGGAGTTTTCTAGACTCCACAGGGATGGTGTGGCCCACGGCGCAGTCAGGAGGAAGTCCGTCTGGAATAGACTCAGAAACCTCCTTAAACTTTGTGTGAGAGGATGAGGCTTGCCGAATTCTTGATCACAACCACTTGTTGTTTGCTATTTATTGTTTGTTTTTCCTTTTTTCGGAAATCCCTACACTCTTCCCTACAGATTGATATATTTCATATATATCATATTTGTTACGAAGTGTTTCGGACTTTCCATGCGTGACACGTTTTCTATTGCGTGGAGCGTTCCGTCACCGTCACGATATCTCTAGAATCCCTACCGTGCTTCTAGGTGGTGTTCCTATGGACAGTTCCACTAATTTCTAGAACTCTCTTAGAAGGTCTTAATTACCCTTCCCTAGAGTTCTCGTAGGTATAAATAGGATTGTGTCGTTGCTTGTATACATTCAATTCTTGATTCAATTCTTGATTAGTATCATTCAAGCTTCCGCTAAATCTTGGACCTGTGACACTTTGACAAGCAGACATGGAGGCTTGAATGGGAAAGAAACTTATGGATAGTGCCCTGTGCCTCTGCCTGTGCCGTGCAGCCCCGCCGCCACACTGCGCTGCATCACTGCCTCAAGCTGAAGGTTTGACAGGACAGGTTTGACATCCCCACTGCTAGATTGCACTGCTTCAAAGCCTCCGTTGCACACATCACCGGGTGGTGAGAGGGTTGGGGAGACGGGAGGGGGTTGAGAGGGAGTTAGGGAGGGAAAGAGAGCGGAATCCAGGCAGCCATGCCATGACACAGAGCCAATCCTCGCAAATCGACTTTGACTTGCCCCATCTCGTCCCCGATTCATTCCCGCACAACCCGACCCTAAGGTCCTTCATCTCTTCTTGATTTAGTTCCACATGGGGCGAAAATGCCGCGAAGGGCACATGAGAGGGATGGGGATTGGGGCGGGGAGGGGAAGAGAGGAGTGCAGCAGGGGTCAGGGCGGGATGGGGTTGGAGGGGTGGGGCAGAATAGCAAGGGGATTTTGGGGGAGAGTAACGTGGGCGGACAAGGAGCGGAGGGAGGAAGGATGAAGAGGAAGCGATGGAGTTGGATGGGGCGAGTTGGGAGAAATTTGTGGTGTGCGAGAGTGGGCATAGCCAACAGGGGGGGGCAGTGCAGAGAAGGGGCCACAAGCAGAAGCCAGGAGGGACCAGCAGCATGCGGTGGCAGGGAAGAGGCAAGGCGGAGGCAAGGCGGTGGCAAGGAGGAGGCAAGGCGGCGGCAAGGTGGAGGCAAGGCAGAGGCAAGGCAGAGGCACGGCGGAGGCAAGGCGGAGGCAAGGGGGTGGCAAGGCGGCCGCAAGGCAGAGGCAAGGCGGCGGCAAGGTGATTGCAAGGCGGCGGCATGGCGGAGGGAAAGCGGCGGCAAGGCGGTGGCAAGGCGGAGGCAAGGCGGAGGCAAGGCGGAGGCAAGGCGGATGCAAGGCGGCGGCAAGGCGAAGGCAAGGCAGAGGCAAGGGGGAGGCAAGGTGGAGGCAAGGCGGAGGCAAGGCAGAGGCAAGGCGGAGGCAGACCCCTTCACCATTGAGGATTTGTTTTAGGTGACGCCAGGCATACAAGAAGTGGGTGCGACATGAGACGCCGATTCTCATGCCGTACCACCTCGCCTGGCTGCTCTACGTGGTGAGTGCCATGGTGTTGTGTTTTGACTGATCCCCCCTTCCAGATTTATGCATGGGTGCTTGTTGTGATTTACGTGCCTCTCCACAGGCTAAGTCCACCAGCACATGTGCGGCGATTTTCTGGCGTGTGTTTATTTATCCCCACCACTTGCAGGTCGACTTTGGCATCTCCAACCACGAGGGCACTTGCATGAACCTGCTCAACACGAACGTACACTACATGAAGGGCCACCAGCTGCGTGTGGGATGTGGTGGATGAGAACCTGCGGACTCGCAGGCACACGTGGGATGCTGAGATGGGGGCATTCCACTGGGGCAAGCACGGGTTCGTCATCCACCCGTCTCGCTTCGAGGTCTACATTCCTGCATCTAGCGACGCCGAGGATGAGTGATGCGGCCCCTGCAGCCCGTGGCACATAGTGTTCCTCCCCCCCCCCCCCCCCCCCTTTGCTCGTCTTGCTCGTCTTTTCGGTCTATATCGCTTGTGTAGCGTCCGAAGGCTGTAACCCTTAGGCATGCTGGGCCTCGATCTGTGGCAGTTGTGACAACTTGCTTGTCTCTTTCTTGGCTTGTCGTACACACATATATGGGTCCCTTTAGGATGCTTTGGGGTTGCCGTTTCAGACACCCCGCCTAGATCCATGCGACTTTGTGTGCTTCGCAATGATGTTATCCACACACCTCTACATGTCTGTCTTCACTTGTAGAATACATGTGGATGCTACAATATTCGTATAACGTGTGGTGTCCAATTTGTGTTTGATTTGTGACTAGAATGCTCGAGTCGGGTAATCCCGACGAGCTTGGCATGGGTGATGGGTTTGCTGCCTATGCTGGTGTTTGGATTGTACCCAAATTGTGTCCGAATGTCATTTCCGGCGCGCGTTCAAAGAGTGCACAAGTGGTGATCACTCGTGGTGTTCAAAACACATTCGAAAGGTCTACCTTGCTTGTATTCACAACGTGGCAACACGTTGTAGCACAAAGACGTCCATACAGGGGTATGTTTTATGTGTTCAATAGGTATACACCTTGAGTATTTTGTGACGATTCTCGTGCACGACATTTCTAAGATGAGGTCCTTAGTGTTCAAATTATATAAGTTATAATTTAATATAGGCTTGGTAGGTTGTTACTGAACCTTTCTGTAGGGGGTACAACCCCTCCTTGTACTCCCCTCTCTTCCTAATCCAACACTCTTCTCTCTCGACACTCTCGTCCAGCTCCTAGCTAAACCCCGCCGCCACATTCATGGCGGCCTTTTACCTGCCTAGTATCCTAGCCTAGAGCTACGTTAACATGGTATCAGAGCGGGCCGTTTCCGGTCCTGCCTTCCACGCTTCCGCCTCGTCCTTGTCTTACGTTTCACTTCGTACCGTGCCGCTGATGGCGGCCTTTCGTTTTCCTGCCGCCGTGGCGGCCTTGCCTTTCCGTGCCGCCGTGGCGACTTCTCTGAGATGCCGCGGCGGCTTAGTCGAGCTACAGTCGCACCTCCGCCTCGCCGCCGCGGCATCGACGTCGCGCTGTGGCGGCGTCTTTTGGCTGCCGTGGCGGCGTCATCGGGCGACAGCCGGCCGCGCATCCGTCGTTTGGCTGCCGTGGCGGCGTCATCGGGCGACAGCCGGCCGCGCATCGTCAATGGTGCCGCCGGACCTGCCGCCCGCTCCGCAGCCGCCGGCGTGATTCTGGACTACGCCCCGCGCCCCTCTCCCCCCTCCTTCCCCTGCTTCCCCTGCTTCCCCCCCCCTTCCTTGCTGCAGCCAACGACTGCCTCATGCGGGCCCTCCCCACTGCCGAGGTGACTGGACATGCCGCCGAGAGGGCGGGGGCCGCTGCACCAGCCGCTGACGTCCAAGCCGCCGCTGCCGTTGCTGTTGCCGCGGGCCGGGCGCCGCCGCACGCCGCCACCGGCGCCGCTGTCGTCAATGTCGCTGCTGCCGCCATAGCCATCCCACGGGCCGTGGGAGCTGCCCGCTTCTGGAGTCGTTCTGTCTCCTGCTGGGAATGGGGGTGCTGGGCTAGGGGGTGTGGGTGTGGGTGTGGGTGTGGGGGTGTGAGTGGGCTTGACACTACCAAGCCTAGGGGGTGTGTTCAAATTATATAAGTTATAATTTAATATAGGCTTGGTAGGTTGTTACTGAACCTTTCTGTAGGGGGTACAAACCCCTCCTTGTACTCCCCTCTCTTCCTAATCCAACACTCTTCTCTCTCGACACTCTCGTCCAGCTCCTAGCTAAACCCCGCCGCCACATTCATGGCGGCCTTTTACCTGCCTAGTATCCTAGCCTAGAGCTACGTTAACACTTAGGTCTTTGAAGCGTTAAGCAGATGGCTCTTTGCAAAATATGATGAGTCAATCTCAGACACTAAATGAAATACAAGTGCTTGTGCGATCCCCAGCTCCCATAAAAGATGACATCCCTAAATAAATTTGACATATGGCCGTAAGTTCAGGCAACGGTGCTTATTTCTGGGCTTGGGTGCTTGCGGCGAGGATCCCTGGGGCTTCACCATAACAGTTCCATCTGGGCTTAGAGATTCACCCCTAGAGTTTGTTCAGAATCATTATGCCCCTTACAGCTATGCTACCAAGATTTGCACTACCATGGAGACCGGTGGTCCACTGGGAGAGGGGATTTAAGAACAAACATGCGATGGGATGATGGGATTGTGAAAGGGTAGCAGGCAGAAGGGGGAGAAGCGAATCGTGTATTGGTAGAACTACTGATGGTAATAACGTAGCATTGACAGGCTAGTGGCCTAGAGCAGGGCCAGGGTGATGTGCATAGAAGAAGCGGACCAGTCTGGCAAACATAGGGATACCAGAAAGCAGTACGAGGGAAAGAGAAATACTTGGCCTATAAGAGATGGGAGGTAGGATGCCGGGCGCTCAGTTGTGTTAGAGGCATTCTAGAAAAGGAATCACATTCACTTGTGGGCTTACGCCCTCGACACTCACTCATGCCCTCGACACTCATCCATGCTCTCGACACTCACTTGTGTAAGAGACACTCGCACGAAGCGGCAGGGTACACTCGCTTGAGCATGGCAGGGTGCCATAAGCTCAAGTTCATGTGCTGATCACTCAGTTTTGCGACAGGCGTTTGGGAAGCGTGCAGTGCCCACTCACCTGAGTGGCAGCTGACAATCTCTTGTGCGACAGGCATTTGGAGCTCATGCAGCGACAAAGCACGCGACCGTCAGCATTGAGGCCAGCAGCAGCGATCCCATGCTTTACTGCCTCCATGGCGCACTCGACCTGGTGCTTGCAAAACACAAAATCAAGGGAGGAGCTGAGAGAGAGAGAGAGAGAGAGAGAGAGAGAGAGAGAGAGAGAGAGAGAGAGAGAGAGAGAGAGAGAGAGAGAGAGGGAGAGAGAGAGATAGAGAGAGAGAGAGAGAGAGAGAGAGAGAGAGAGAGAGAGAGAGAGAGAGAGAGAGAGAGAGAGAGAGAGAGAGAGTGGCCAGCATGGCGTATGCGTTGCTGCAGTGCCCCACTGGCACACTTCCCCGTTTTACTGCCTCCATGGGATTCCACCTGGTGAATGGGTGACATGCAGGCAGAATGCCGCACTGCCCTGCTTCACGGCCTCCATGGCATACTCCACCTAGTACTGGGGACAGGAAAAAAAGGGGGGGATGAGGGGGGCGTGGAGCATGGCGTGGGTGTTGCTGCGCAGCCCGACTGCTACGCTGCCTCCATGGCGCATTCCACCTGAAATAAGGCGGGGGCGGATCACGGAGGGGAGTAACGGAAAGAGAGGGGTTGGGGGAGTGCGGTAAGCACGGCATGGGTGTTGTACTGCACAAGCAAGCCCACCGCTGCACTGCCATGATTCAATGCGGAGGACGAGGTGAGACGAAGGTGTGGGAGGAAGGAGATACTGTAAGGTGGTTATGCTGCCTCCTTAGCGGACTCTCCGCCTAGAGGAAAACCTGATGGTTTGTCCGTGTGGCGCAAGTGGATAGGGTATTGGAGTGCACAGGGAAGAGGAGAAGAAGATGCGACTAGGTGAGGGGCGCAAAGAAGAAACGTGGGCGGACAAGGAACGTTAGCAGAAGGATGCTGAGGGAGCAGTGGAGTGCGATGGGGCAAATTGCATGAATGGTTCTGGTGTGTGAGACAGCAGGTGGGTGCAGTGCAGTGCAGAAAGGGAGCAATACGCAAAAGCTAGGAGGGACCAGCACACACACGATGACGGCTGCTTCACACAAAGAGGAAACGGCTATCTTCACGAGAGAGCGAAGGATTGGGAGAGGACAAGGGGGGTAAAAAGAAGTGTGCAACCAGCAGGGGGGTGCAGTGCAGAGAGGGATATAGGGCAGAAGCGAGCACACGGTGATGATAGGCAATGAAGGCTTTTGAATGCAAAGAGGAGATGACAAGGTCTGGCTGAGAGGGGAGTGAGTGGATTAGGGCGAAGTGGGTTGAATAACAGTGCAAAGGCAGCATGCGGTGACAGCTTATTCGCGCTGAAAGGAAATGACGATCTGGCGGCAGGGTGTTTTTGAGAATTGCCCGAAACTCGGAGCACATGCTGATGGCCTCCTTGCGCAGATATGCAATGCCGATCTTGTAGAGGCAAGGTGGAGGCAAGGCAGAGCAGAGCGGCCCAATGCAGAGAGGCAAGTGCAGAGGATGCAGTGCTGAGGGCGCAGTGCAGAGAGGCGCAGTGCAGCTGAGAGGTGCAGTGCAGAGAGGCCCGCAGAGAGGGAGCATAGGCACAAGCCAAATACTTAAGAGGAGCACTGCAGCCATGCAAGCCCGTAGCGAAAAGAGTAAACTGACGCTATGGTGAATGGAGCTATGGTGAATGGCGACAGGAGCGACACGACCGGTGCTAATAGTGCGAGACGCGAGGGCAAGAAGCAAAGAGAGGTGGAGTGCAGAGCCAGAGTGCGCGACAGCAAAGTGGGCAAAGCGGAGATTGCAGAAGAGCTAAAGGGCAGCGCGGCAGCGAAGAGGAGGAAGCAGAGAGGCAGAAGCGAGGATTACCTGATGCAAGCGACGTGGTGACGTCAGTATTGTATTGGTTGCAAAACATGGCGATGATATGGCGGAGCGAGCGACAGAGACGGCAGCGATTTGAGAGGATGGCAGGTGTGGAGGCAACACGAAGGATGATTTTTGCACCAGAATTGGCAGTTCGGAGACGAAAGAATTTGAGGAATTCGACCTAGAATGCGCGGGGTTTTGGGAGGAAGGGGAGGGAAGATGGGAAATAGATGCGGAGGTGTGGCACTAGTGTGGAGAGAGCAAAGTATTACAACAGGTGTTCAGCATATCCACATAGCTTATACAGTGCCCTGCAATTTAAGGCGAGGATCTCAAAATCCCCGAGACCAAAAACTTAGTTTTTGGTCCTGAGGGTGGGCAAATTTAGCGAACGTAACGAACGCTCGGAAACAGTGCTGGTTGGGCGCGAACCCAGCCAACACCTGTGCGAACGACCACCCACCTCGTCAAACATGTGCAGGGTCGCAGGGTGGGGTTTGCGACGAAGGGTGCACGAAAGCAGAAAATTGCCAAACAGTAAGCGCCCACAAAGTTTCGTAACACTATGAGGCTGATATATATTCTGAGTGAGATTCACTACTAAGTATATGTATTTGTTTGTATACACAAAACGTGGACACATTAAAATGTCATTTGGGCCTTCCATACAATGCCTAGTCAATACCACAATAGTGACCAAGGACAACCAAACGGTCCATACTATGCTATTACACGATGAACGGGGCACTACTCGATAAATGTGTGATAATTTATATCGATGATATCCTGATTCATAGCACGACACGGGAGCAGCACTTAAAGGACCTTGAAGCTGTTTTTCAATGCCTGCAGCAGAATTGTCTCATCACCAAAGGCTATAAGTGGGAGTTTTTAAAACCCGAACTGGAGTTTTTGGGGCACGTTATTTCGACGGAAGGCGTGAAAGTTGACCCCCGCAAAATTCGGGCAATTCAGGAGTGGAAGTTGCCGACCAACCTCTAGGAGCTGCAATCTTTTTTGGGGTTCGTCAATTATGAGCCAGGGCTCCCGTTATCAGACCAAATTGGTCTGATGGTCTGAAAATCAGACCGGGTTTTTATGTTTCATCTGATTTTTTTACGAGCCAAATGTATTCGTCTGATTGTTCAGACAAGTTAAAAGAATTCATCTGAAACATCAGACCAGGTGTACACATTCATCTGATTTATCAGACCGGCTGTTTTTTTCCGTCTGATACCGACAAACCCACCCTTCTAGCAGCAGGGCCACTACTAGTCTACATGCACACTGGGCCACTGCCTGCCACCTGGTCCCATGTGCACCGCAGCACGCGCATTCAATTCTACCCCGAGCGCGGCAGCAAAACAGTCCAGGGCACACAAACAATCTGAATTCTCAGACACGTGCTTGCATTTCGTCTGAATCGTAAGACAGGCAAAAAAAATCCGTCTGACGGTCAGACGAAGCTCTAAGTACCCATCTGATTTTCAGACTGCCCTAAAAACTAGCAGGAGCCCTGTTATGAGCGCCGGTTTATCCCCAATATGGTGGGGTTAAATGGGGCACTAACTGACCTACTTCATAAGGACGTTGCTTATTAGTGGGGGGAGACGCAACAAGCTGCATTTGATGGATTAAAGAATGTTTTAATCTCGCCACCGGTACTTCAAATTGCAGACCCAGAACGACCGTTTGAGGTCGTGATAGACGCAAGTGACATCGCCATCGAGGCTGTTCTGCTATAGGATTTTGGCGACGACCTTCAGCCAACCACGTACGACTCGCGAAAGTTACAGTCGGCCGAGCGAAACTATCCCGTACACGACAAATAAGTGTTGACGATCGTGCACGAGTTCAAGATCTGGCGATGCCACCTGACGGGAGCCGACGAAACTCTATGAACATATCATAAATCTCTACAGTACCTGCGAGTGCAACCGAATCTCAACCCGCGGCAGACTCGCTGGCTGGATTATCTAGATTCGAACTTTATGTAGCGAATTATGTACAAGAAGGGTGCCAACAATATTGCCGACGCCCTCTCCAGACCATCTACCCAAACCGTTGCTGTACTAATCACCCAGACGAACCCATTGTTAAGTGGACTATTTCCCCGCGGATATTCCACCGATCCCTTTTTCGTAAACAACGGCCACCAGCAGGTCACGACTGCATGGGGGAGCCTACGGTATTACGTAAAAGCAGGAACAGAACGGATTGGGGTTTCCAGTTATCATCTACTAATTAAAGAAGTCCACGATTCGAACTCAGGAAATTTCGGGGTTGAAAAGGCTCTTAAGGCACTGCAGCGGTTTTATTACTGGCCGGACATGATTTCGGACGGGTAGAAGTACGTGAGTGCGTGTCCGATCAGTTAGACAATGAAATCATCACGCCAGTGGTCAGCAGGACTGTGGTAGACCCTCGAGCCACCCCAACGACCTTGGCAACACGTGACAATGGATTTTGTCACCGGCTAGCCGGTCGGACTAAGTGGTAACGACGCGGTTTTCGTCGTCATCAACAGTCGCCTACTGTACTCCGGGATTATTTATCCCGGAAGAACGTCACAAATATAGACCACCTTCGCTAGAAAGGGGGGGGGGTAGCGTAAGGAACTTTCCATTCCTTAGCGTGCTACACCGCTAACGCGTACATCGACCCCATACAGCACCGACATCGGTCCTAGCTTCAGCCCGAACACGTCGCACCGAACCACCTCCACAACATTCTGAAGCGCTCCGCGTCCTCAGATGCTTTCTCCGAACCTATTCCTTTATGCAGCTAGGATTGCTCCGGTGTTCCTATATCTTGCTTCGTCATTCCATTGTACAACATTCTGTCATTCTGAACTTCGACATTCGATTCCTCGCTACTCTGGTTAAACACTCATAACAGGACTTGGTTTTCAAAGGTTTTGAGATCCTCGCTTTAAGTTCACAACCAAAATCAACATACATAATTGCATGCTATATTGTGGTGCTGCATCAGCTATGCCAATGTCGCATGTTGTAACTTCACTAATCATATTGTTATGGGTGAAAACCCTGAGTAGTGCGGAAGTCAATATCGAGATTCGAAATGACAGAATTACAGAGTGTCAGTATGATGAGGCAAATATAGGAACACCAGAGCGGATCTTAACCGTGTGATGCACAGATTCGGAGAAGGCATCAGAGCACGCGAAGCACTTTGGAATGACGCGGAAAAGGTTCGGTGTAGCACGTACGGTGGCGAAACTAGGGCCTATTCCGGTGACGTGTACGTTCGGTGTACGCGCTAGAAGTGCACCTCTGTAAGGAATTACTAATTCCTTCCACATATTTCTGTAGAAGTTGCTAACAATAATTTCTCGAATTGGGCCACTTGAAATTTTAACTCCTGGTTTGTAATGAGAATGAAAGGATGAGACTTACTGTAATGAAGCGCAAAGAGCGTGTATCGAAGGGTTGATAAACGAGGAAACAATACAACTGAGGCAACATCAAAACAACAAGGAGCATGTATATAGCTAGCCTAGGAGCACACGGTCGTGGCTCGGCAGAGCTGCGACGTGTGGTTTGTAAATTGGCGTGAAGCGCTCAGATCTAGGCATGCAACAGCAAGGCGGGCAATAATGCATGTGGCTCCTCAGGAGACCACATTTGAGATCGCGATTTGAATTTCGTGGCAGAGCTGCTCAGCAACCCTGTTATAGCAGTGTATGCCTAACTCAATAAACGCCATGATAAGGAAATGCCATTTCCTTACACCCTCCCCCCTCCAATGTATGGTCTTAGTTAAGACCGCCGACGTCGCACACATTGCGTGACTGAAGATAGACCCGCAACATCGGGTAATTCTTGATATGTGCCAGGGGCACCCAACTGTTTTCTAGGGCCGTCCGGTCCTTCCAAGATATCAGAAACTCGATCAGGCGAGCCCCTCGAGGATCCTTGATCCGATGGCTAAGAACCTTCGCAGGTTCGACAGTAGGCTCGGCGAGCGGTCGGATGTTCAGGTTCGCTCGGTAACGTGCTAGCTTACTGGTGTTGGCGATGTATGGTCGAAGTAATCGCACGTGGAATAATGGGTTGCCATTACAGGTGGCTACTAGCAGTAGATGGGCTGTAACGGAAGATATCATGTGGTTGATGGTAAATGGTCCACAGTAGCGGGGGCGGATTTTTGGGACGATGGGCAGTCGAATGTTCTAGGTGTCAAGCAGTACTAAGTCCCCAGCCTGGTAAGTGACTGCTCGTCGATGTAGATCGGCGTTGCGCTTAGAAATTCCATTCGCGCGCTTAGTGGCCTCAACTGCTCGCTCCCAGGCATTCTGTAATATTTCGACGAAGAGTTGGCCTCGTGGTACTAGATTTTCGATGTTGGGCGTGATTGGTACTATAGGGTTCTGCCCGTAGTTCAGTAAGAATGGTGATTTTCGTGTAGTGGCTGACGGGGCGTTATTATACGCGAACTCAATCAATGGTAGTTGCTGCTCCCAGTCGGCCACGTCATCGTTGGTGGCACGAATCAGCTGCTCTATCGTCTGATTTGCCCGTTCGGTCTGTCCGTCAGTCTCGGGATGGTAGGCAGAGGAGAACTGCAGGCGCGTGCCGAACTGTTCCCAGAGGTTGCACCGAAAGTTACTGGTGAATTTTGAGTCACGATCCGAAATGATGGTGGATGGGATTCCGTGGAGGTGAACGACAGCCGAAATGAAGAGTCGGGCTGTTGCTTCGGCTGAGATGCTTTTTTTGCAGGCGGTGAAGTGTGCCATCTTTGTCAGCTTATCGATGACGACAAATATCGCATCATTACAGCCGTCCTTGGCGGGAAATCCCGGAACGAAACCCATCCTCACCTCCAAGTCTCTAGCCTAGTAAGTGACAGCTCGTCGATGTAGATCGGCGTTGCGCTTAGAAATTACATTCGCGCGCTTTTGGCCTCAACAGCTCGCTCCTGGGCATTCTGTAATATTTCGACGAACTGTTGGGCTCGTGGTACTGGATTTTCGATGTTGGGCGTGATCGGTACTGTAGGGTTCTGCCTGTAGTTCAGTTGGAATGGTGATTTCCGTGTAGTGGCTGACGGGGCGTTATTATACGCAAACTCAATCAGTGGCAGTTTCTGCTCCCAGTCGGCCACGTAATCGTTGGTGGCGCGAATCAGTTGCTCCATCGTCTGATTGGCCCGTTCGGTCTGTCCGTCAGTCTCGGGATGGTAGGCAGAGGAGAACTACAGGCGCGTGCTGAACTGTTCCCAGAAGTTGCACCAAAAGTTACTGGTGAATTTTGTGTTACGATCCGAAATGATGGTGAATGGAATTCCGTGGAGGCGAACGACGGTCAAAATGGAGAGTCGGGCTGTTTCTTCGGCTGAGATGCTTTTCTTGCAGGCGGCGAAGTGGGCCATCTTTGTCAGCTTATCGATGATGACAAATATCGCGTCATTACAGCCGTCCTTGGCGGGCAATCCCATAACGAAATCCATCCTCACCTACTGCCACGCGTGCTTAGGCGGCGGAATTGGCTGCAACTGTCCAGCTGGCTTCTGCTTCAATGATTTTATGGTTTAGCAGGTTTTGCACGAAAGCACATGCTGCTGCATGTCCCCTTGCATGTGGAGCTAGAAATGTCAACTACTGCCGGGTTTTCTCTACTCCGGAATGCCCCAAAACGGTACTGTCGTGAGCTTCCTGTAAAAGTAACTCCCGTAATAGACATTTCTCAGGTACCCAGATGCGGTCAGTCCCTCTCTTTACGTAATAAGCTCCCTTAGCCGTTGCCAGCTGTTTGTACGCACCCGGCGTAAAGAATCTGTTCGTATGGTACTCGTGGGAAAATAGGCATGCTAATAGCGGGGAAGTCTGGGCAACGATTATGGAGTTGAGATGGGCAGATGGTCGAGAAAGGGGGTCTGCAATATTGGATGCCTGTGTCTTCCATGTGACTGTGTAATGGAAGTTGGACTCCATAAAATCCAACCACCGAATCCGTCGTGGGTTGGGTAGTGGATGTGCGCGGATGTACTGTAGGCTTCGGTGGTCTGTCCGTACTGTTACGTCCGCGCCTGTCAGGTAGCACTACCACACTTTGAATGCGTGCACGATTGCAAGCACCTCCTTGTTGCGGGTGCCGCTTTCGTGACTCGTATGCGATTGGGATGGCGATGTCGCTTGCGTCTGTGATTACTTCGAATAGACAGTGAGGATCGGCGATGCGAAGGACAGGGGCTGAGCACAAAAACGTTTCGAGCACAGAGAAGGCAGCTTGCTCTTTCTCCCTCCACCTATACTCAGTCCCTTTCCGTAGCAGGTCAGTCAACAATGAAGTTACCCCCGCCATATTCGGGATAATTTGCCGAACGTAGTTGACGAACTCTAAAAAAAAATGCAGCTCCTGCAGGTTCTTATGCGGTTGCCAGGCTTGCACTATCTCGATCTTGCACGGGTCCACTTCGACGCCCTGAGTGAAAATGTCGTGTCCCATAAATTCTAAATGGTATTTTAGAACTCGCACTTAGACCCCTTCATGAGCAGCCGATGGTCCAGCAGTAGCGTGAAAACTGCTTCGAGGTCCTTTAAGTGCTGCTCCCGGGTCTTGCTGTAGATCACGATGTCGTCTTGGAAGACTATAACACACTTTTCTACGAGTGAACTGAAGATCTGGTTCATGGACATCATAAAAGTTGCCAGGGCGTTCGTCAGACCGAAGGGCATAACTACAGACTCAAAACTCCCGTTCCTAGTACCAATACGCAGTCTTGTGAGTGTCAGCTGCGACTACGCGAATCTGATGGTAATCCCCTCGTAAATCTATTTTGGAGAAATAGCGAGCTTTGGGATGGTTGATATGTTCGTCAGCGCGCGGGATAGGGCAACGCGACTTGATAGTCACTCTGTTTAGTGCTCTGTAGTCAGTGCACATTCGGTACGCGCCGTCCTTCTTCCGGGTGAACAGTATGGAGGCGGCAAATAGCGAGGAGCTCGGGCGGATGATTTTTTTCTCCAGTAAATAATCTAACTGCTTCCGTAATTCCTCTAACTCTGACTGTGTTAGTCGAAATTGTCGCTGCACTGTGGGTTGTGTCCCAGGTTCTAATTCTTTTCGATGGTCGAAGGGTCGTTCCGGTGGTAATCCCTCGGGCAGGTCGTCTGGAAATATCTGAGGGAAACTGTAAATCTGCTGCGCTAAATCGGCCGGCACGTTCCATCTCCTTCCATTTGCGTCCTTCGGGCTGCAACACATTTTGCCCAAGGAAACTTGCTGCATATGCCATATCCACGCGTGTGCAGGAGACGGGATACATGATGGAGCCCACCATAGATTGGTAAGCCTTGAGTGCCCGTTCCTTGCTGCCCCATGTCTCAATCTCTGCCTTTACATCCACTTCTTTGTGTGCAAGGCTGCTGAGAGGTGTTGACACCACTTTTGATGTGCCGTGCCCTCCAAACCTCTCCCGCAACCTCTGGCAGTATTTCTTTTGGTATAGCAGCAACTTCTTCTCCTCCTTGTTCCGCTCCAGATTCATCCCAAGGAAGAGAGATGCTCTTGGGATCTTCTTCACTTGGAACACTGCTGCAAGGTGAGCGCACACCTCCTCCACTCTCTCCTCCTTTGCTCCCGCCACTAGGATGTCATCGACGTAGAGCAGTAGGAAGACCTTGTCTTCTCCCTCTCCCTTCCAGTAGAACGCTCGGTCGCATTGGCTCTTGACGAAGTCGCCCTTCATCAGCTGTGCATCCATGGTTTGGTACCATTCCCTAGGGCTTTGTTTCAGTCCATAGAGAGCTTTGATTAGTTTGCATTTTCTGTCCGTGCCGTCCTCAAAACCTGGCGGTTGCTCCATGTAGACATCTTCCTTCAAGACGCCATAAAGGTAGGCATTCTTGATATCGAGTTGAACCATAAAGTACCCACGTGCCGCTACCACTTTCAGCATCGTCCTTGCTGTGGTCAGCTTGCTCACGGGTGCGTAGGTATCTGTGTAGTCCTCTCCCTCCACTTGAGTATATCCCTTTGCAACAAGTCGGGCCTTGAAGCGTTCAAGCTGCCCCATATCTCCAGTTTTGATCTTGAAAATCCAGCGAACTCCCACAGAGTTTCTTCCAGCCGGCATGTGCACCATCTCCCACGTTCCTCTTTCCGCAAGTGTGTTCAGCTCTTCTTGTATTGCTGCCCACCACTGCTTCCGATAGGGACCGGTCAACGCTTCTTCAACTGTGACTGGCTCGGAGGGCAGGTTGTATGCCTTCCTCCTCTCCTTGGAGACAAGTGCGGTTGCCGACATGGTGAGTAGAAGGTGAGTATGAACATCCTTCCATGGTGTCATGAGGATTTGGGCATACCGGGGAGTGGGTTTCTTTACCCGTTTCCCTCTGCCCAATTCTTCCTTCCTTTTTTCAGCTCCACCCATTTGGGCTACAGCTCCATTGTTTAGCCCTTGCTCCACTGAGTCTTCATCAAGTTCCCGTCCGATGAGAATAGCGCCTTCCTCAAGTAGGCCTTCAATTTCTGCTGCTGCCTTGTCATTGCTTTTTGAATTGATCAGCTTCCACGGGTTGGTGTGGTCCGAGCTTGTAGCGTCGTCCACTTCTTCCTCTCCATCATGCCCATGCTGATTTTCTGCTTCATCTTGGTCAGCACTCTCTCCATGGATCCCACCAGTTCTTTCCTTTTCCTGGTTGCGCTCCCTTTCATCATTTGGTTCCTTGGGTGGTGCTGGATTCTCCGGGACCTCCCACACCCAATCCACCCCTGCAGTTGGGTAGTCGTCGTAGTCTTCATCTTCAGTGTAATCATTTGCTGCCCCAATTCCTTCCGTGTCATTCACATCCATCATCTCCTCAACCGGAGATGGTGCTGCTGCCGTCGGTTCCTTTGTTGCTCGTTTGTTCTCAGCTGCAGCCCCCGTCTTCATTCCCTTCCACTCCAAGTAGGTGTCAAACTCGTAGAAGGTGACATCTCTGGTTGCTGTCACCTTGCCTGTCTCCACATCCCTTATAATCCAACCTTTGCTCTCTGGGCAGATTCCCAAGTAGATTCCCCACTTGGTTCGAGGTAGGAGCTTGTGGTCGGGTCCCGCCGGCTCCCGGTACTGCACCATGCAGCCCCATACACGTAAGAACTCCAGGTTTGGCTTGCGCTTGTAGAACGCCTCGTGGGGTGTGATGTCGGCTACAAGTCCCTTAGTCGGTAGTCGATTTTTCAGCCAACATGCCATGCCGAGTGCGTCACCCCAATAGTGTAGAGGCAGTCCGCTATCCGCCAGCATGCTTCTTACGCTTTCCAGTAGAGATCGGTTCGCCCGCTCTGCTATGCTGTTGTGTTGAGGAGTGTGCGGCACCGTTAGTTGCTGCCGAATGCCCTTTGACTTCAAGTAGCTCTTGAACTTTTGATTGATGAACTCGCCACCATTGTCCGTCCTTAGTACTTTTAGTTTCCTTCCGCTTTGCCTTTCCGCTTCAGCCTTCCAGTCGAGGAAGCTTGCGAACACTTCAGATTTGTTCTTGATCTCCGTCACCCATGTATGTCGTGTGCCAAGGTCGGTGAAAGTAACAAAATACTTGCTGCCATGTCGAGAAGCCACCCTCATAGGCCCACAAACGTCGGCAGCCACGATGTCAAGTATGTTGTACGGCTCCCGAACCTCATGTTTGGGGTGAGAAGTCTTGGTAGCTTTTCCTTCCACGCAGGAGGTGCAACTCAGCTCTTTTTCTGCATCCTCTGTCACCTTCACTCCCACTACCATGTTTTTCTTGATCAACTCCTTGATGCGCGTATGTCCAGCATGCCCCAGCCTTCGGTGCAGCAGGTTGACGTCTACTGGTGTCACTGTTGCTGCCTTGGGAGGAGCTTGCTGCTGGAGTTCTTTGATGGGCGTCTTCTCCAGCATGGTTCGAAGCTCGTCCCTTGCTGTCTTCCCTTCCTCCGGTTCAGCGATGTATGTAGATTTTGCACCATCTTTCTGCTTTTCATGTAGCTTCATCTCGTACAGCCCTTGCTTGCGTGCGCCTTCCGCTAGCACCTTCCAGTCAGGGCCGAACACCCATAGACGCCCCTTGTTGCTATAGGTCTTGCATCCGTTGTTGTCTAGCTGTGATTGACTGAGTAGATTCAGAGTCAATCTGTCCACCAGCAACACGTTGTCCAACTTTAACTCTCCATATGCCCCTTGTAACACCATATCTCCTTCCCCTTTCACTGGAAGCTGCCCTTCATCTCCCAGCAGCACATATGGGACCATAGAAGCTCTGAAATCTTGCAGCCAACCTTCTTGATTGGTCATGTGTTGGGTACATCCACTGTCCATGTACCATTCCTGTCCCTTCAGCCCTGTTGCTAGCAGGCACGCTCCAGAAGCACGTGCAACATTGGCCTTGTGTGCACCTCCAAGAATCACATCTTCATCGCCGTTGTTCGCCTCTACAATGTTGGCTTTTGCAGGTGAATGAGGTTTGTGCTGCTGCTGTCCACCCCTGTAGTTCTTGCTTGAAGGGTTGGAGTAGCAGTAGATTGCCTTGTGGCCATACTTGTGGCAGTAGTTGCATGTTCCAGCAAACCCGCTTCGCAGCCGTTGTCCATCTCCACTTGCTCCTTGGCTGGTTCCTTGTCCGGTTGCTCCCATCCCTTTGAAATTCTTGCTCCTTGGGTTGGAGTAACAATCGGCAGCTTTGTGGCCCTTCTTTCCGCACTGAAAACATGGCCCAAAGGTCCTTGTTGCCCCAGTTGCATTAAGAAGTGCAGGTTTGTCGCTGCTGGAATTTTCAGCCATGGCATCCTTGCGTTCATCGTCCGCTCGGATCAGCTCCAACTGCTGCAAGTCGTCCAAGAGGTCAGTCAAGTCGGTGGGATGACGACAGGTCAGGGTGCCCTTCTCAGATGCCCACTCCCTTGGAAGGCCGCTGATGATGTAGCTCATCATCTGCCTCTCTGTTTCTGGCACGCCCATGGCAGTCAAATCGTCGTTGTAGCCTCGTGCTCGAGTCACATAGTCCACCATGGTCTCTGATGGCTCCTTGCGTAGCAATAGAAGCTTCTTCCTTATAGCAGCCATCTTTGCCTCACTCTTCCCCATGTATATTTTTTCCATGAAGAGCCATGCGTTCTCTGCTGCATTTTCTTCTCCAGCAAACTTGTCCAACCCTCCAGCAATGCCATCGGAAACGGCGTGACAGAGTTGGAAAAAGGCTTGCAAACACCGTTTCTTGTATGCCTTCTTCTCTTGTGCGGTTTCAGGTGGAGGACCATCTTCCTCCGTTGCTGCCGAAGGGTGGTAGAGATGCCACAGCCCCACCTCCCTTGCGCGCCTCATGAACTTCAGCCTCCAAGTGCCGTAGTTCACTCCATTGAAGCGTTGCGCTTCACTCAGGCCAATCGTCGGTTTGGCCACCACATGCCCTTGAGCAAGAGCATCCAGGAGACTCTGCATTTGAGAGCTGCCAGGGTTCACGGATGACCCTGAACTAGCCTCAGCATCTCCATTCCCCATGGCTCCAACTCCCCCTTTGCCTCTACAAGGCACTTAGGACTTCCACAGCTCCAACGCCCTTATAGTGAGGCGTAATGTGACTATAACGAGGCTCTGATACCAGCTATAGGTTCGCAAGCGCCTCCGGCTGACGTTGGAGAGACTGAGTTGACGTAGAAAGTTGCAGCAGTTTCTAGGGGAGAATTTGCACTGAAAATGAGTTGTATTTGAACAAGAAACAAACAAGCATTTATAAGCAGGCAGAAAGCTTGCGCGGTTCGCGTAACGCGGCTGGTGTACTGTGCAACCACGGAATTCTGCCAACCACGGAATTCTGGCAATCACGGAAACGGATTTCGGTAACCGACACCAAGTCCGAAACCGACCCCGAGTTCGGTTCTCCGGAATTCAGCTGAACGCGCTCCGGGTCTGTGTTGGAGAATTTTCGTACAGCTTGTTTCTCCCGCTGGTCTTGGCTGGAGTTTCCTGCAAGGCAACAGAAAGTAGATCTACCGTTTCACCGCACGCACGCATCACCTAGAGCAACCTCAAGCACCTTATTTTCTTAGGTTTTCTTCTACCGATTTCTTCAATTTCTTCCTTGCTGATTTTCCTAGCTCCACCGCTGTTCCGCCACTTCCGCCGCTGCAGTTAGGATTCCCGTTTTTCTTCCCGTCGTCATTCTTTCCCTTGACATCCGCCTTGCTATTTCAACACCACTTTCCTTGGAACGAGATGGGCGGTCCTCACACCGTCCTAGCATCGCTGCATCCTCATTAGGCATAGGAATAGGACAGTAGGGCAGTGGCGAACCACCCTAACACAACCAGCAGCGCGGTGTAATCATGAGGGGAGGAGAGAGTAGAACAGAGTACAGCGCGGCGAGCCGAACAGCAGTGCGGTGCAGTCCGCCACTGCGCCCGGCGTCGTTCCAGTCTACAGCGCTGCTGCTGTCGTCAACGGCCTCCCCGCCGCGCCAAGTTCCCCGCCCCCCTTACTGTCACATTCAACGTCGCGATCGGCACGCATTGAGACTAAAAAGCACCGGACTGAGGCTCGAACATAACAACAGTTCTAACCGAAAATCGTCGACTTTTGTTATAGGACAAACTGTAACATATTAACACGGACCGCCCGTCGATCTATGGAGCAGGGCGCTGCAGCAGCAGCGATCGTCGCCCAAAATACCCTGCCCGCCATAGCTATGGCTATTGCCAATCCGCTGCTTGGCAGTGATTGTGACGGACTAACGTCAGGGGAGGGAGGGATCCATACGCCATACAAGCATCTGCCTCACGATACTTTGGAATGGTTGATTAAATTGGTCTAGGACTTGGGATTTGGTGTATTCTGCTGATTCGCCACGCCCATTGGAGGAAAATATTTGCATTCGTCCAATCAGATTGTACTCCACGTCACACACAAAAATCTGGCATCTTGTGGTGTTGGGCTCGTTGACGACAGAACGAAAAATCACGAAGTGCCTCGCCATCCAATGTCGAGCGACTCTCTCGCTCACGACCTCTGCACAACCCTCCAAGTCTGGTGGAAACCTTGTCCATCCCGATTGGCCAAATTCGGATTGCGTGGATTCGCAACAAGCAGGTGGGGAGATTACAGAGCGCCGTCGATTCGGATGGCACGCGGCCCGTGAGCGCCTGCGCCCCACTCTCGCTCCCTCCAAGCTCATCCTCCTCCCCATACCTCATCACGTTCAAAACTCGCATCACTCACGGCAAGTATACACAAGCGTCAGAAATTTACCAGCAGCCAGCTACACTCAATCCAGGAACTTCATACCACAGCTTCAGTCTCGCCAGACTTACACATCCACAATGGCTGCTCTCGCTAACGCTGCTGTGATCCCCTCCACCTTCGTCGGCCAGAGCGCTGAGCTCGCCGCCAAGGTGAACAATGTCGAGGCCCGCGTGACCATGAGGAAGACCGCCAAGGCGGCTTCCAGCAGCCAGTTCTACGGCCCCGACCGCAGCCTGTTCCTGGGCCCGTACTCCTCCCCCCCGTCGTACCTGACTGGCGAGTACGCTGGCGACTACGGCTGGGACACCGCTGGTCTGTCTGCTGACCCTGAGACCTTCGCCAAGAACCGGGAGCTGGAGGTAAGCAAGATTTTAGACTCCACCAACAACACCACTTCTGAAGCTTTACACCGTTCAAAGAACCACCCTTTTCGTAGATATGTGGCCTGTTCTTTCTTCCCACAATTGGAAGGACTTAATAATAGCTATCGTTTTGCAGCCTGCACGATTTTGTAATGCATCGATGTGCCCTCACCTGTTTTCCTGTGTTGGTTTTTACACCTTCCAGGTGATCCACGCTCGGTGGGCTCTTCTCGGTGCTCTCGGCTGCCTTACCCCCGAGCTCCTCGCCGGTAACGGCGTGAACTTCGGCGAGGCCGTGTGGTTCAAGGCCGGCGCTCAGATCTTCTCCGAGGGCGGCCTCGACTACCTCGGCAACCCCAGCCTGATCCACGCGCAGTCCATCCTGGCCATCTGGGCGTGCCAGGTCATCCTCATGGGCGCCGTCGAGAGCTACCGCGTTGGTGGCCTGGAGGGCTTCCAAGAGGTTGAGGACCCCCTGTATCCCGGCGGTGCCTTCGACCCCCTTGGTCTGGCTGACGACCCCGACGCCCTTGCTGAGCTGAAGGTGAAGGAGCTGAAGAACGGCCGCCTCGCCATGGTGTCCATGTTCGGCTTCTTCGTCCAGGCCATCGTCACCGGCAAGGGTCCCCTGGAGAACCTGTCGGACCACCTGGCTGACCCCACCGTCAACAACGCCTGGGCCTATGCCACCAACTTCACCCCCGGTGCTTGAATGCCCTGCCGAGTTGTACATGTATATTTAGTAGGTTAGATTACAATTAATGATCTTCAATCTCTCGATTCTTGATTTCACACATGAAATCACACTGGCCTATTCCAAAGCTTGGTAAACAGTCCGAGCCCAAATTCCATCTGTTGCAAGCGAAGACATGTGACTTTGAACGGCGTTGGCAGCTCGACACAAGTTCTACAGTAAAGGTGAATTTACATGGCTACCTGAGCAATCTACACAGCTTGATCATGGGATTTGCGATGTCACGGCGGTTTCGTAATCTAGCTAGCACCTTGGCACGGACGAAAGCAGCAGTGAGAAGCTGAGTGACGAAGTGAGCTTCTCACTCCACACATTTCCCGAATCATTCCTTCAAGCGAGCGAATTCAATCCATCTCGGCGTTGCATTCGCATAGCGTGGTGTAGATGGTGTTGCTACCTCCAGAAGTTTGCTTTGGCCCACACCTTCGCTGCTATTGGTTGATTTTGACCATAGCTCTGACATCCAATTGACCTGACATTTGGAAAAAGATCATGCCTAGTCAGCGTGCAAGCCACGTCACACAACAAATTCGCCAAATTGCTGGAAACCTGGTGTTGACGAAACTAGCGAACACGCGCGAACCATTCTCCACTCCTTACCACACACTCGCCACGTTTGTTACTTCAGCTATGATGCGAACCATGCTTCACCACCACCTCGAACGACATCAGGCGGGAACACACATCCGTCGCGATTGGCTGGCCTCCGATTGCGTGGATTTCCTCAACGAGCCAGGAGGCAGATTCCCAAGCATCACAAATGTTGAAGCCACGCGGTTCGCAATCCGTCAGCAACCAATCAGAACCCGTCTGAACCAAAACCCAAGGAATCCATCCAACCTTGAGTTTGCCTTCTCGTCTCCCCTTTCCTCCTCGCTCAGGTTCAAAAGGCACTTTCATTCAGCAGCTGATCAAGCATAGCTGCTTTGTTCCAGGAATTCCATAATATATCACAGCTTCTGTTTCCCGTCCAGACATCTACTAAACGCTAAGATGGCTGCTCTCGCTAACGCCGCTGTGCTCCCCTCCACCTTCGTCGGCCAGAGCGCTGAGCTCGCCGCCAAGGTGAACAATGTCGAGGCCCGCGTGACCATGAGGAAGACCGCCAAGGCGGCTTCCAGCAGCCAGTTCTACGGCCCCGACCGCAGCCTTTTCCTGGGCCCGTACTCTTCCCCCCCGTCGTACCTGACTGGCGAGTACGCAGGCGACTACGGCTGGGACACCGCCGGTCTGTCCGCTGACCCCGAGACTTTCGCGAAGAACCGCGAGCTGGAGGTCAGCTATATTTAGTCTCTCCTCAGATTCGTTCATCATCTCATTCGAGAATATGCACATCGTTACAAAAACCACCTTTCGCATGCCAGCTATGTCTGGCTGTTATGTCTTCGGCCACCTTTCCTGTCATTATACCGTGCCACGAACCGTTATCCAGCGTGATCAAAATCGCAATGCATCGAAGCGTCCTCACCACTTTCCCTGTTTCCCGGCGTCCTCACCTGTACCACTTTTCAGGTGATCCACGCTCGCTGGGCCCTTCTCGGCGCGCTCGGCTGCCTCACCCCGGAGCTCCTCGCCGGCAATGGCGTGAACTTTGGCGAGGCCGTGTGGTTCAAGGCCGGCGCTCAGATCTTCTCCGAGGGCGGCCTCGACTACCTCGGCAACCCCAGCCTGATCCACGCGCAGTCCATCCTGGCCATCTGGGCGTGCCAGGTCATCCTCATGGGTGCCGTTGAGAGCTACCGCGTGGGTGGTCTCGAGGGCTTCCAAGAGGTTGAGGACCCCTTGTACCCCGGCGGTGCCTTCGACCCCCTGGGTCTGGCTGACGACCCCGATGCGCTGGCCGAGCTGAAGGTGAAGGAGCTGAAGAACGGCCGCCTCGCCATGGTGTCCATGTTCGGCTTCTTCGTCCAGGCCATCGTCACCGGCAAGGGCCCCCTGGAGAACCTGTCGGACCACCTGGCTGACCCCACCGTCAACAACGCCTGGGCCTATGCCACCAACTTCACCCCCGGTGCTTAAATATGTTGTCATTTCCTGTACATTTAGTATTATACACTTAGGAGAAATGAAAATCCCAGTTTTTCAGCTTTATTATCCCGACGTTTATCATTGTCAAAGACACATCATTGGCACGCGCGTCTGACAGAGGATAGGAATCCAGCCCCGTTCATCTGATTGTTACTGACCTGCAGGGCGTTTATAGCCCAGGACAAACAGTATCGTGCACGTACTGACCTGCAGGGCGTTTATAGCCCAGGACTAACAGTATCGTGCACGTTCTGTCTGTGCCAACATTACAAGTCCTATCCGATGAAAGTTGAGAATGAGGTGAAATTCACAAGGGAAGCAGTTTCTCTGTTGCACTGATCAGGGCATCGTGACATGAGCATAGTAACAACCACTTAGGCAAAGCCATCCCTTATGAGCCTGCTAGTTTTCACCGTGTCCTGAAAGTATCAGGAGATAGATTTATGGATGTGTCTCTAGAGTATCCTGAAACCTCTAGGCGACTATCGCCTCGGGCGCAGCGAAAAGAGTATTTGGAAATACTCTCGCAAATAGCCTCAAGGGCCTTGCCTCATAAATCTGATCTCAAAGTGGTTGCAAGTTGTCAATACACACAAGCATTCCAGTAGTTCCAATGAGATACAAAGCACACAAGAGTATAGTGATTTACAGTGGCGGATTAAATTGCCCGGATGTTTAACACTTTGAAACATATCGGTATGCCACACATGTTTCGAAAATAGTAACACCCGGTTTTTGCCATTCCGTTACAAGGTTTCAGAGTTCTGCTTCAACCGTTTCTTGCTTGGCGCAATTGTGACACAACCTGAAAGTGGGGTTGAAATTTTCTCCTCGACTGTCGATGCGGACATTTCCAACCGAGCGGAAGAGTAGATCTATTTTCCCCCGTCACTCAGTGTGTACATCGTCACGCGCAATAGTTGCTGGCTTAGGAGTTAGTCCGGAAGCGAGCCTACGACCGCATCGCCATGAAGCCGTTAACTGAGCGGAAGCGCGCGCGAATCAGAAGCATGTTGCGTGCGGGCCATTCGACTAGGAAAATAGGCACAGTTCTTGGAATAGGCAAGAGCACCGTGCACGATTACAGTTTGAAAGTGGCTGCCGAGACTAGTCTCGAGGAGGTGCGACCTATGATGCCTTCGGCCGGCCGCCCCCGCTTAATCACTACCCGTCTCCAGCGCGGAATAATACGGGCGATTACTAGCGGCGAGGCGAAAAGCTCTGTAGAAGCGGCAGATATGTTGTTGGAGAAGCACGGTCTCGCCGTAGACTCGAAGACGGTCCGGAACTCTTTACGATCCGCGGGGCTGATCGCCGTGCATCAGCCCAAGAAACCCAGGCTCTCACCGAAAAACATCCGAGATCGTCTCGACTTCGCGCGGTCGCATGCCGACTGGACGCTGGAGGACTGGAAGCGGGTGATTTGGTCTGACGAGACAAAGATAAACCGCTACTGCTCCGACGGACGTGCGTACGCCTGGATTCGCGAGGGCACCAGCCTTCGGAGCCATCAAGTGCAACAGACAGTTAAGCATGGGGGCGGTTCTGTGATGGTGTGGGGTTGCATGACGTATGAGGGGGCGGGGTTCATGTGCAAGATAGATGGCAGGATGGATGGGCCGCTGTATCGCAGCATCTTGCAAGATGAGCTCAAACAGACCATCGATTTTTTCAAGCTTTCCCCCTCAGAGGTCATTTTCCAGCACGACAACGATCCCAAGCACAGGTCTCGTCTGGTCCAAGATTGGCTTGGGGAGCAGGAGTACGCGGTGCTGGAATGGCCGTCGTGCTCCCCGGACCTTAACCCGATTGAGCACCTGTGGGCATACTTGAAAAGGCAGCTGGGGAAGTACGAAAAGCCGCCAAGTGGAATGCTGGAGCTGTGGGAGAGGGTGCAGGAGGAATGGGACAAGATACCGGCGGAGGTGTGTGCAAACCTGATCGACAGCCTGCCGAGGAGGATCAAGGCAGTGATTCGGGCAAAGGGACGCTGGACTAGGTACTAGTTTTCCTAGAATCTAGTATGATGCCTTTTCCCGGTACAAATTGTCCGGATGTTATCCTATGCTATGCTTAGGTGTTTAAGGACCATGTGTGGTACTACTTTGGTGTTTGTCAACTCGTGTGAGTGCTGTAACTGAACTTCTCAACGTGTATGCACACCATACATTAAGGCTTAATGTTTACGCCGCTGCACTCATCAAAATGCCAAAAAAGGCTGAACATGTGGACAATTTATTCCGCCACTGTATAGGCAAACAAGAAAGAACAAACGCGGTTCGTATCTGCCGTGTGCGCTGCGAGTAACTCACGCGCCTCGTGTCAAGCCGAGTCGCACACGCAACCACGACTTTCTTACTGAACACGCCGCTGGTCCGAAGTCCAAATGCTTGTTGAACACGCCCCGTCCGTGTTAAAGTAAGAACTGAATGATTGACTAGAAGTTGAAACCTAGAACAAATACTAGTTGGTTGTACTCACTAGAAGCATACCTCAGTCTAGCCCATAACTTCTACATAGCCAATAGTATGTCTAAGTTGACACACCCCCCCCCTAGGCTAGAGAAGGGGTGAAGCTAAGCAAGAAGTAAACAGCTCAGGGTGGCACTACTAGTCCAATCACTGAGGCAGGGGTCTGGAGACCAGTCAGCAAGAATACAAACAAAACTAAAGCAAGCCAGGGCGGCACTACTAGTCCAGCCACTGGAGGTAAGGCCACAAGGCCAGTCTGACAGGCATATATAATAGAGAGTACACAATCAGGATCCTAACAGGTGAGTAGCTACAGGAACAAGACCAAGCCGTACACAATGCCGCTGATCATCTTTAGGCGCAAGCGTCTTAGTAAAGATATCAGCTGTGTTGGCACCTGAGGCCAAGTGAACTACGCGGGCCTGGAGGCGCTGCTGTAGCTCGCGCAGGAGGAAGTACCGCAGCTGGATATGCTTCGCTCTGCCCTCAAGCCGAGGCTCCTGACACAGGAGTATCATGGCCTTGTTGTCAGCGTACAGGACCGGGGCAGAGCTAGGCCGCTCACCTAAGTCTGTGAGCAAGAAGGTCAGCCAGCGGAGCTCCTATGCCGTCAT